GGAAGTGAACAAGTGTTTGATCCAGTATATAACATTATATAAGCAGTGTATCATCTTGCAGGGTACTTTTTGCATTGTTTGGCTCAATTCAATTCTTTTTCCAGAAAAAAAAAAAGTTTTGTTTTCTGTGGGTGGTTGCAGACAAACTATTATTGGAGTTTTTCTTCATAGCTTGCACTGAATAAACAAAATAGTCAGTACATATATAATAGTTTTCCCAACTTAGACATAGCAGCAGTGGCAGATTCAGAATCAAATATCTGACACTGAGCCAAAGTTTACACTCGCTGTGCTTTCCATATTTGGTCTGGAAAACACGTTCAGATCATTTCCAGTGCATGCTATTTCATTATCAAATATCTCTCTCTGTATATGTAAGTTTTCTTTCTGATCCAGTTGAAAATAGACCTCAGCAAGAGATTTCAAGGAAAAAAATAAACTGCTTTATACATATATATATGTACACACTTATCCCTTTTTAAATATCTTATTTTGGTGACTCTGTTTTGGAGAAGCTGTTGGATTTCTAAGATGAGGATCATACGATCAGTAAATAGTTTAGTTTTGTAAAGTGACTTGAGTACAGACTGTGTTCGAAAAGATTTTTAAAGCATTAAATAAAACAGTTGAACTTAAATCCTAAATAATGACTGATAAATGAGATTTTAAAATAGTTTCAGTATATGAGCGGGAGAGATGCAGAAAGAGATAAGTAAAATAGATTTTCAGTGATGAAGACTGATAACAAATCAAAGAGCGTAGGCAGCACTGACATGAAAATGAATCCTCTAAGCTAATTTACAGTAGAAAGTAAAATTTACTATACATGTGGGTGTGACAGCAAGAAAATAAAGCCGTAAGTACTTTCTAAGAAAATCTGCTCTTCTCTCCCTGTCCTATATATCTATAATATACTGGTATTTGTAGTAAAATAGTAATTACACCTCGTAAGAGGCATTGTTTCTAATCAGTGAAGGAGATAAACATGAACAAGCCAAGAAAAAAAAGTAGATGCATCCCTCTCTGTTGTCAAAGTTACTATAACTGTATAACAATATAAAGTATATAATCTTAAGAGATTTCTGATCAGTACTTCACAGAAAGGGGCCTCTGCATGTTTAAATGCTCAACACACAGACAAACTTGTGAATGTGCCACAAAAAGGATGATTTAATGAGCTCAAGTATATACATGTGTGTATAATTAAAGAGATGGCATCTGGTTTGCTTATCTGTAGTTTGTTATGAAATGTCTATCATGTTCCTCTGAAAGAGCGTACTGGGCAGCTGGGACGCAGAAAGCTTTTTTGGTTTCTTTCACCTGAAGAAACCCAAGCAGAGGAGGCTTGCTTAGAGCAGGCTTGGGGAGGAGAAGCTGCTGGGGTGCAAAAGCCAAGGCAGGAAAATCAGCTGAATGTGTAGGAATTAGAGAGCAGAAAGCCAGTAGAAGGGGTGCAGATTTACAGCCAGACCACAAAACTGGTGGAAAACAATATACATCACAAGGACCTAGAGGAATTAGGAACTGCAGTAACTGAGCATTAGGACTGAGACAAAAGGACTTGATCTGCCAGGACATGGTGGCTTAGGGAAGATCTTTTTATAATGATTGTTGTTTTGTTTATAATGATTGGTTATAATGATTCATTTATAACCAATGCTGTTGTCGATCTTTTCTCAGAAAACTGATTTTGAGTTTTCTCTACTTAAAAAGTAAAGGTAATGGTTTGTAGCCTAAGAAAATCCATCTTTTGAATGTACTCTAGTCATTTAGGGATATTCATGCTAAATGTATTGGCATTGGATGCATTGGCAGATCCACCTTTCAGCTTTGACTCACTTGGAGTCATTCACAGCATGTGAACTGTGCACCTAAATATTTTTTTAGACATATAAAAGCTCAGTAAGTTATTTCTGATAACAGACACACAATACAGCTATTTGTATTACCTAATATAATGTTGTAACAGATGACTACTTCACCTTGAGTTACTAAGTGCACATCTTTCATAAAATGGAACTGTTGATTTAAAAAACTTCACCCATAATCAATAGCTTTTCAGCTTCTTCCACTTCCAAAATCTGGGGAGGAGCAGGAGGAGGCTGTTGGATCTCGTTTGTAAGAGACGTGAGAAAAAAGAATTGGTCCCATTTACCTTGTTCTGGTAGCACCTCTTCCTTTTTACAGTAGGGATAGTTGATACAAATACTTTGTCTCATGGGTAGGCAAATGTGGTTATAGATGTTATTTCTGTTATGTTTCTCTGCAAAGATGCTACCATATGACTTTATATAAACAGTATGGAAAACACATTTGTTAAGTGGATGAAGTTGTTCTGCATTAAGTGGCCAGGATTTAACACTTGGGCTTTATCTTCCTAAATGTAGTACTTTGGCCACAGTATTTTGTAGAAATCATGAATTCTAAAGGCATATTTTTATTGGAAGTTGATATAAAAATGCATTACTAACTTATTTTTTTTTCTTCTTCTTCTTTTTTTTTTTAGGATTTATTTATACCTGTGGTGGAACTTTAAAAGGACTTAATGGCACTATAGAAAGCCCTGGCTTCCCATATGGATATCCAAATGGTGCAAACTGTACCTGGGTTATAATAGCAGAAGAAAGGAACAGAATACAGATTGTCTTTCAATCCTTTGCTCTAGAAGAGGAATATGATTATTTATCATTATACGATGGGCATCCTCATCCTGCTAACTTTAGGACAAGGTAAATAATAAACTTCATTAAAATGTGACCTGTGTTTGTATGTTAAAAATATCTGAGAGGCTGATAAAAGCTAAAGCCTTTAAATTATAGATTCTATCTCGTCCAGAGTTTAAGGTGCACCTTTTCCTTAGTTAACCAAAAATGACTTAAATATCTACGTGATGTGCTTTAAATCTATTTAAAGTAATTGCTAAAATCATTTTCTAGTACTGACGTAAAACTTGCCATCTCAACAAAATGCAATGAACTAAGAAACGTATGGGAAACAAATGAGTGTGAAGGGAAGGTGAGATAGTGCTGGTCTCAGCCTGAGTGACCCAGTAGCTGTGGAACTTTTCTAATCTTTGCAACAGGAGGCTTTCAGGAGGGACTGGACAAGGATAACATCGTTTCTTAGCAATTGTGTAGGAGGAATTACAAAGGGATCATAAGAGTGAAAGAAAAATAGTTTGCCAATCTAGAATATAATGGGTTACCAAACATTTTTTATCAGTGCATAGCTCAGAGCTGTGACCCATATGTTCAGTTCTGGAGAGCTGCAGCTTGAGGGATATAATTTGCAGAAGCAATGGATATGCTATGCATAGACATATTAGTAGTGTTTACCGTGATAAAGAATGTAATATGTATTCCTATTCAGGGGACATCAAGTTTCATTTTACTCTCACATGGTGTTACTTTAACAGAGGAATGTGTCTTCATATACTGAAATATTATCTGGCAAGTGTTGACTTATTGTTATTTTTTTTTTTTTTCAATCCTGGCTAACAGACCAGTACTTCTTCACTACTAAGTAACATACTACTGGAGAAAAATTAAGATAGTAAGAAGTTTTTATCTCAAATCTTTGCAGGACTTTAATTCTGTTTGTCAAATGAGTAACAAAAAGCAGACAGGGGAAAATATAACTAGAATAAAGTTTTGTTTCTTTGTACGTCTGTTTCTATTTGTATTTCCCGTTTCATCAGTGATTGTGAACGCTTGTGATATTAGCTTCAGGCAAGAAGGCAACCCACAACTCAAAAAATTTCAGGACTGACTTTTGCAAAAAAGTCTAAGAACATACAGATAAACTCTTCTCCTTTCTGGCCACCCTCCAAAAAATAAAGTTTACCTGGAGATTTGAGCACATGCAGGAACCCAGAAAGTCCTCATGGTCAGTCAAGACTTTCATTGGTGTTTCTACTGGAACTGGTCATCCCAAAGAATAGATGAAAAATAATCTTCACAGGTAGGAAAAAAAAAAAGGAATTACTGCTATTAACAAGTTACGGTTCTTACTGAGTTACTGTCTTCAGGAGCATAACAGAAAACAGGTGAAGAAAGCTAGTAGGATGGGAAGAAGAGGAAATTAATATGAAGTTGCAAAGGCAGATTTTTTTTTTTGTATGTATCTTGTTCAAGCCCCTAAGAAGGGTGTGTGTGTGTGTGTGTGTGTGTGTGTTCTTCTCTGTGCTTAACTATCTACCTGTATACTGTTATGCATAATGTGTACACAGGTATGCATGCAGGTTTCCTTTTTATTATACTAAGCCTTCAAAGCTGGAGCTTTAGGATATTTTTCTGAAAATATATTGATATCTTGAAAACAATCCTGGCAAGCACAGTGGCATGCTCAAAATCTTAGGTGTTGTGCATTTAGGATGGCACAACATTATTTTGAGGAAAGCCATAAGGAGTTCTGTAAAGCAGAAGAGAATAAATCAGTACTGAAAAAAGAGAATAAAATTAATCTTCTCTCTAGGTCTCAAAATAGACTTGTTTTGCATGTCTTGCAAGATCTTGCTAGCATGTGGGTACAGTAGAAAAATAGTACACATTTGTGTGAGAGTAGAGAATCAGGTTTAATTTAAGAAAGTTTAAGAGTGAAATTATGCAAGCTTTACTAATTTCTTTTTTCATGGTGACTGAGATTTGTTTTCTCAGATTGCTGTAGCAAGTAGTAAGGCGATATTCCGTAGACTTCCTATTTTACAAAAGGTGTTTATTTAAGTCAGTAAAATTTTTCTTAAGTGCAGTGCTTGAGGAAACTTTTGCTCTAGCATGACAATGGATTTGATTGCTTTACCTGGTGACATTCAGAAAAATGTACATTAATCCCTCTTCACTTTATAGCAGACAAGAATGTTTTCTGAGGATTATACTAGTGTATCTGTATAAATATATAACTGGACTGCTAATAAGAGATGTTGCAGATTGACAAGACCACTCTCTTTTTCTGCTTCAGTACTTTGATGCAAAGAGGTTGTCTATATGATAAAAAGAGTTTTTGCAGTTGAGCTGTTTGTGAAACTCATGACTTCTGATACAGTACTCCAAGAAGTCCATCCTCATCCAACTTTGAATTTCCTTCTTTAATAGTTCACTTTAAAATTCAGTCTTGTTGAACTTTGCAGGAACAGACTCTCTTCAGTGATTGCTTTACAGCCTCAGCTGGTTTTGATGACACTTGTAGGACAGCTAAAGACTAACAAATGGAAGGGAAGAGTGTTAGTTGCATCTATTCAAGAAACTGTTCAGTCAATACTACCCATTCCTCATTTTTAAATTGTGTATACTAGATTTAGTGTGTTTAATTTTTACCTCAAACTGCATGCAGAAAATATCTTTTTATAAAACAGCTTTGAATCTCAATATTTTTTATCTGTTTGCAGTAAAAAAAAAAAAAAAACTGTTTACTGGTTTTGACCCACACTCTCAGAAAAATTTAATTTTTATAAGTTTTTTTGGGGTGATGCGTTAGGCACTAATATTCTTTAGGGCTTTCTTTTTGCCTTCCCTGTGTATGTTTGTGACTTCTGTGTACCTTTTCTTTCCCCTACATAGCTCCCTGAAAACATAGCAAGGTTTTGGCTGGCTGCAATTACTTTTAAATTGCAGCTCTGGATAGACCTTACTTTTGAAAGCTGCTAATAATTTAGATTTCTATGCTGAATGAAGGGAAGCTGTTGCATTTCCAGATTGATTATTTTTTTCTTCTTTTTATAATTTCTGCATTTCACAGGAAGTGTGTGTTTTTAGCTGAATCATTTAAACCAAGTTTAATGAATATGCATATTAATCATGTTTTCCATTTTTTGGGTGTCCAGCTTGAGAAATAGGAATTCTGTTTGCAGTAGTGCTCAGAAATCTCGCTTTTAAATGAAGTTAATGAAAGATACGATTTGAGCTGATAAAACATCATGTAAATCAACAGCTTCGAAAAGCTGTCTTTGGAGCTATCTGATGATCTCTCTTGCATGTTATGAAAATAAATTTTAGTATAATTTGTAAAGAATTCACTGCAGTGTAGTGAGTGCCATAAGCCAGGGAGCAGGAGGAGCAGGGCTGCTGCACGTGGAGGGACAAGCTGGGAGCCGAGGTGACCCCAGTGCAGGCCGTGCCCTCACCGATGGGCGCAGACCCGCAGGGGCTGAACGCGGCGGCAGAGCCAAGTGGTGGTACCAGGATCCATTGACAACCCCAACAGGGCAAGTGGTGATCCCGGTCCAGGGTTGGCCCAGGGAGCCCCATCAGGACTAGAAGGAGATGGGGCCAAGGCCAGGGCTGGAGCCGAGCTACAGCACAGGTCCGAGGAGTCCCATCAGGAGCCCAGCTCCCCACAGCACAGGTCCGAGGGGTCCCATGGAGGAGGCAGGGCCAGGGCTGCAGACCAGCACTACTATGATGTAACACAGGGAGGGTCTGGGGTCCCTGGGCTGAGCTGAAGTGGAGCCCTTGGGCCCAGATGGAGTAGTGCCAGCTGACACCTTCAGTAAGGGCCGTTTGTGCCCTCAGGACCCTGACAGCATAAACAAAAATCTGGGAGAAGATTATTTAATGATTACCTTCAAAGTAAGATATAAATATTCTATGAAACATAAGTTAGGAAATAACTATAGAAATTGTTCATTGGATACTCTTCTTGTCACTCATTAATTAGTCATATTGAACAACAGTTTATTTAAAAACATATATAATTGGTGGCAGTGATATGATACATATGTAGACAGTTGAGAGAATGGCAACCCCAACTCTGATTTTTTCTCATAACTATTTTACTTTGCAACCATAATAATGTTATTTTAAGAAAATTCTGAGAGTAATATGTCACAGAATCGCAGAATCACAGAATCGTTTAGGTTGGAAGGGACCTCTGGAGATCATCTAGGCCAACCTCCCTGCTCAAGCAGGGTCCTCTAAAGCATATTGCCCAGGATCACATCCAGACGGGTTTTGAATATCTCCAGCGAAGGAGACTCCACCACCTCTCTGGGCAACCTGTTCCAATGCTCTGTCACCCTCACAGTCAAGAAGTTTTCTCTCAGGTTCAGATGGAACTTCCTGTGGTTCAGTTTGTGCCCGTTGCCTCTTGTCCTGTTGCTGGGCACCACGGAGAAGAGGCTGGCCTCATCCTCTTGACACTCCCCCTCCAGATACTTGTATACGTTGATCAGATCACCTCTGAGTCTTCTCTTCTCCAGGCTGAACAGGCCCAGCTCTTGCAGTCTTTCTTCCTAGGAGAGGTGCTCCAGCCCTCTAATCATCTTGGTAGCTCTCTGCTGGACTCTCTCCAGTAGTGCCTCCAATGTCATATACTATCAGTGAGCACTGAAGAGTATGTTTGTCCCTTTTTCTTAGAAACGCTTAGACTTCAGCACTACTTTTGAAAGACATATATCATACTCACTAGGTATCTAAAATATCATTTTTGATCTAATTATTGCCCCAATATGCAATGTGATATTCAATTACTCAAGGGTAGTACTAATAGTAACTTTTGATTATCCACCCAAGCTCTGTTCATAGTTCCAAGTGAATATATCTGTTCAAATTATCAGTATCTAAATAGTTAATTGATGTGACATTTAAGCATTTGTCACAAAATTTAAAGAAACAAAATCAGGCCTATTTTAAACAGAGGCAAAATGCATCCTTGCTGCAGTTGCACTGAAATAAATTGAATAATTCAATTCAATATATTTCTGCATTACTGTGTACAGTAGGAGAAACTTGCATAG